CTGTTACCCACCCGCTCGATAGCAAGCCGGGGGGTTCAATGGTCACTCCAGCCGGCGAGAGCAGCGGACTCCCGGCTTCATCGTTTTCAGACCCCCGCTTTCTCACTACTCAGGTTAAACATGATATAAGTCACTGGGATAACTTAAAAATGTAATTGTTTGCCTTTTTTCTGTGTTTTATTTGTTCCGGAGTAAATCGGTTTGGTTGAGATCAAAGTTATTAGATTATTAGATTAAATAAAACTTTATTAATCCATCGGTTGGATTCCTCCGGGGTTTTCACACAGCTGAATAAACATCAAACAGAAAATTGATTAAACAGAAGTGTGAGACGGTTGAGAGTTTACTCCAGTGTCCTGATATATTTTAGATAGCAAGGAGCAGACGGCCGAGTTTATTAAACTCCACCGAGACAGCGGTGACGCTGATCTGAAGGCTCGACCATCACATTTCACAGCCTCGCACTTCCGGCCTTCTCGGTCTTTGAAGGACCCGGCCCACGTAGACCGCGAAGGCCGGGTCCTCCGAAGGATGCAGCCGATGTTTTGGGACACAGCTAGTATTCACCAACACACTTCCACATCTGGTCCGTTAAGTTATTGTGTTCCCAGAAACGCTTCTGTTTTCTGAATTGATTTTTTTTCCTTTTGTTTTGGCTTTTAGCTTTTCCTGCACCACCCCTTCTCCCCACCGCTCCACCACCCATTTCCCATTTTGGGTCAGATACGTTAAATAATGTCTGAGAATGGTTAATTAAAATATAGAAAACAGTTCCATACTCTTTCCCAAACCAGCAGAGGGATGCAATCTGTCCAGCATGCCCTAGTCTGTGGAGGAGACTCTTTGAGGCTCCGTTCGATCACTACCTCCAGGTCATGATCATCAGCAAGGACAGGAACGCAGAACAAGCCACAAATCACAGGCTTCTTGCTCAGCTCTGTCCTCACCTCAACGGACGGATCACTGCAGCCTGTACAGCCTGCCTTACTTCCTCACTTCCTTCCTAACTTTCTTCTGTCTTAAACCCATCTCCAATCTAAAGTGGATGACCGCCTGGTCCTCCACACTGCAAACCAGCTGATGAAGCTGGATGCTGTTGTTCATGCGACAGATCTCCACTCAAGCTCGTTAACAGTAAACTCCTGATAAAGTTTCTTTAATTAATCCGTCACCATGTTTGATGTTGTGAACAGGATTCAGACCTCGGCCTGAAAAGTCCTCCTGCTCTGTTTGAGCCTTTTAGATTTGAGTCTTTGCAGCGTTTGGCCCTTAGAATCAATCCTCCTCTCAGGTGTGTACACAACATGAAGACATTGTTGCCTCGGTTCGACTCCACCATCGGACCAGAGTCTTTCTGTACCCGGGTCTGTGTGGGTTCTCTCCAGGTACTCTGGCTCCCTCCCACAGTCCAGACACCTGCATTCAGTGGGGTTAGGTGAACTGGTAACTCTAAATCATCCACAGGTGTGAATGTGAGTGTGTTAGAGCTGTGGCAGACTGGCGACCTGTCCAGGTGTGCCCCACCTCTCGCCCTATGATAGCTCAGATAGGCTCCCACCCCTCCGCAACCCTGATAAGGTTAAGTTGGCCACTGATGGATGGTCTCTGAGCGTGACGGTGCTTGTGGGTGCAGGTCTCTGCCGGTTGTTCAGGTGTGTTGCAGGTGTGAGGTGTGTGTAACGGCGGTGATGTCTTCCTGTTTCTCCAGCATGCACATTGTGAGCGGCTCCTGCAGCTCGCCCCTGCCTCCCACGCTCAGCCCCTACGAGAACGGCAACGCCCTCTTCATCAAGAAGCCTCACACGGCGTGTGGCTCTGTGACCGTCTTCACCTACGACCTCCAGCACGTGTCCACCCTGCAGTTCAATGGCAGGGTCGCAGTGATGTTCTCGGTGCCGTACGACTTCAACTTCTACTCCAACTGGTACGCGGTGGGAGTCTTCGACATGGACAAAGCCTGCGACCAGCACCTTTACGACGAGATGTACAACAAGTCGGAGCAAAAGTTTGTCAGGGGCAAAGCCAAGGGGCCGAGTCTGACCTACAGGGGGGGCTACATCACTGTCAGGGCCACCATGTCCGACACCTACCAGCCCATCCTCAAGGTCGCCATCTGCAACAACTGAGGCCCACAGCCGCACCTGCAGTGTGCACCATTAATCCCACTTAATCCAGTAACACTGGGTTCACACTGCATGAGACCTGCAGCTGATTGATCAATCAGTTAATCAGTCAGTCAGTCAGTTCGATTCTCTCCTCATTTTATATCCACAAACACAGATTAAATCTCAACATTTATTTGAAATTTGGATTTCTTTCCCTGCCCCTCCTTCCTGATGACATCCAAAAAATGGTGAGCTGTGATTGGTCAGTAGTGTGTCTGTGATGTTGTCTGAACCCAATGTTAAACTTTTTTTCCTTCTCTTTATGTTTGACACAAACTTAACTTTTACTTTTGATGATGTCACTCAGAAATCGTCATAGCAACTGCGTTACTGTGGTCCAGTGAGATGAAACCACAGAGCTGTGCAGCTGTGAACATGTGGATGAGATAATAAAGGCTGAGTGAGTCCTAAATGTCTGAGCTGTTTTCTTACGATAACCAATCACAAAGCAGTCTAAGGAGCTTGGGAAGAAAAGCGTCGGCACTTCTTTAAGTTTCTCGAAGATGTTTGGTCCGACAAGCTTCTTCAGTTTTCAGAGCAACTAGTGCAGAGTCCAAGGTTTTAAGCCCTGTGAGAGTTTTTCTAAAGGGGTCGCTGACCCACTGTTGATCCTCCGCCTAATCACATGAGCCAAGGTGTGAAAACAGGTGTCACTATCAGCCAATGTTGTGAAACATCTTGGTGGCGCTGTCACTTGGTGTTCGCTTGCTCTGTGGTAGAGTATCACTTCCTGTTCCTGCTCAAACACAGTGGTGTTTCTGAGTAGCTTATTTGCTTAGCAATTTAATTAACAACTTTTAAATA